GAACCTCATTATCTAAGTGACTCAGAGCTTCCCCTGTTCATGCTCACAGGCACAAAAATTGGTACCTCAAGCTCCCACTAACTGATCCCTATTTCCAAGCTACGTTAGTAGCAAAAATCATTCTGACATGCTTGGTCCAGGTTTACCATGGAGAGGAAAGGATTCAGCCCATCTAATTTTAGACGTTTACATCTGATCCAGCAAGACCCTTTTTGTCATCAGTGGAGAGAAAAACACACATCTAGAACACAGTAAACCCTATCTCCATGCCAACGTCAAAAATAACTGTTAAGATCTCAAATACCTTATTATTTCTTGGTGCTTTTGCCAATACATATTTACCCAACTACTCCCATATCTTACACTTTAACTGCAAACTGCTCACAACTGCTGAATTTTCTGCAGTGTGTTCATACAGTGCATAGCACAACTAACATTCATAGATACTACAAGATACTACAAGATTTGAAATTCGAAAGGAATCAAAAATAACATGAAGCAAAAGATCCCCAAGGTATCTGGGAAGACAATTCTGTGTGATTATGGCATAATTTCCAGAAAAACAGTCAGTTGTGATTTTAAGGTTTTAAGTGATGGGTTAATCTTCTCAGCCTCCTCCATTTGCTCTCTGATTTTCCAAGCACACCACAAAGTAATGCAGACACCATAACACAGTATCATGCTGAGATACCACATCTGTAATGATGTACATGTCATATTAACCCTTCCTGCCACAGGATTACACCAAGAAGCGCACGTTTGTGCATCTGGTCTCCTAAAATATTCCCCTGACAACTGAGTTCCAGGAAGCAAGTGCTCATGGAATCAGGACAACCTGGATTCTTTGATGTAAAGCGTAAGGCCTTGCATATGCTTACTGTTTTTGACTATTAGCACCATAGTAGCATTTTTCCACCTTCTGGAATTCAGACAGTCTTCTAAGAGACTTGAAAAAATGATCAGTAAGCTAAACGTTTTTCCAGCCAAACCCCGTAGGTTTTTTCACACATCTTTATACTGAGTACACGCTAACATCTTCTTCAATTATGAAAAGAGATGTTCATTACCTTGAACCCAGTATAATTTCTGTCCAACTGCAAGAAAGACATTTCTAGCAAATAGTTTTGCACTATTTTCAATTTTACAATTGCTACTAAGTGCTAGATTTATGTAATTGCTAGACTCCACTGATTCCTAAACTAGTAACTTTTGTAACTGTCAAGCAGTAACTTTAACTATGCTTGTCCTTAGCATTACAAATGTTTAGCTCATTTGTAAGAGTTCTGTTCTTCATTATATGTAACTTCTTACTCATAGTCTGCATCTCTGTACACATCTGTGAGTAGTCCACAGCACAGTGACTGACAAGCTGAGAACCACTGAACTGCAGCATTAAAAACAGGAGAAAAATCAACCATGGAAGTCAGAGCCAGATGTAACGCTTGTTTTGTGTTTGGGAGTGGACTTAGTGTTCATTCATCTGGTGAGGTGAGGCTTTCCATGCTATCTTTTGCTAAAGTTAAGTAACAGTTCTGATTGTAATGGTTTTTCAAAGTTTATGATGTCACCAGACCTATCATCTTCCATATTTCCAGTATAAAATAATTGAGAAGTTCTCTTCAGCCAAGTAGTTCTGCTTCAGGAAAAATACTCTCAAGTCTGGTGTATTTTTAGATCTACTCTTAAACAAATCACGTATTTCTGTGCTTTGGATCAAGGACTTCCAATTCTGCCAGAGTTCTCAGAAACTGTGCATTTTGCCTATGAGAAGGATAACAGCAACTTCTTACAGTGGTAAAGTAGTACTGAAAGATCAGGTTGAGGACTGGAAACAAAACTTTGTTCAGCAGCATATTTATCCATCATACATTAGGTCAAAATTAACTGTCCTGTTTCCCATATAAATGTCACATTAATTACATATTTTAAAATTTCATAAAATGATTAATAGAATGGACAAATCAGCGAACACATCTGTAACCACAGAAATGTATTCTGCTTAGTAGGTAGAACTACAACAGATATTGGTCCAGGGCAACTAGAATTGACTGAATTCTTACATCCAAAATATAAATTCTACTTCAAAGAACAGAATCAGGCTTAACTGTTGCACAGAATAGAAACAAAAGGAAACAAAGTCATGAAAGCTAATAACACCACTGCCAAATTCTGTTCAAATTGGGCAAGTTCTAAGTCTTCTAACAAAAACCAAGCTCACAGAGTCAGTAATAAACTGATTAAGTCTTAGCAGCTACAACTTTCTAAGGTTCCATCTGTTCTGTACATGTGCCATCCTGGGTCTCTGCCAGATCTGAGGCCTGGGACTCTCCTCTGTGTTGTCAGTGACAGGACACCCCTGCTGTTCTCTGTCAACAACAACGTAGTGCCTGTTTGAATACGGAGGTGACAAACCTGGAACTGTGCAGGATACAATTAACACAGACAGCTTGGTAAATAGAAACTGAGATTGCTGGTCAAGAAGAATAGAAAATACGGACGAAAAAACAGGACATGGGAGTATAGCCAAAGCATTATGTAGGAACACCACTAGGGGAAACTAAAAGTGACAACTTTCAGAGTATTTGTTGAAGAAGTTAAAGCAGAGTGAACACAATAAGAAAGAGTCTAACAAACAACTTGGAAAAAGTATAAAAACATTTCAGAATGAGGAATTCTGCCAAAGAATCTGCAAAGACAACAGATCAAGTTATAAGAGGCACATTCAGAGGAGACAGTTTCTCTGCAGAAATATTTTTGTTGGTGTTCATCATGGAAAAGCATGGTAAGGGTCTCACACAAGAGCACTTTTTCATGGAAAACTCACAGGGTCCGTTTCAAACACAAGCGCTGGTAGAACTTGAACTAACAAAATAAAAAAAAAAAGCTAGTTGTCAGAATGAGAAGATAGTTACTCCTTGAAGGAACTATTCATGTGACTGAAAAATATAACAGTTAAACTACTCAAGATCATATATAATGTCTCACTTAAAACTGCTCTAGTACCAGTGGTTAATATAATCACTATCTTTAAGAAGATTCTAGCCTAGACAAGAGAAATATAGACCTGTGAGCTTGATATTTATGCTGAATAAAGTGGTGCCACTAAGGCTAAAACAATTAGGGAATAAGCGAGTAAATATGATATAGTGTGGAAGAGTCATGAGGGCATTTGCGAAATAGTTACACTTCACAAATCTAATACAGCTTAAGTGAAAAAAATGTCCAGAACAGGAAGCTGCGTGGCAGCCTACTGAATTGCAAAAATGCATCCCCCAAAGCCTCTTAAAGAAATTAAGCCACACTGGAGTAAGATCTGATTTCCTTCCATGAATAAATCCCTGGTAAAAAGACAGGAAATAATGGTGGGGCCCTGACGGTCAGTTTTTGCAGTGGATGGAGTACCCACAAGAGTTCCATGGGAACCTGTTCCAGGACCTGTGCTTTTCAATACGTGAGGGGAGGCGATGTCCACAGATGCTACTCAGAACACAAAACATGAGGGTCAACTGTGAAAACATGCAGGATTTCTCCATTGGGAGTGGCCAGGAGGTGAACAGGAGATGAAATTTACATATGCGTCAGCCTTTGAGCTTGCTATTATCATTCACAAATAACTCCAAAACGTTAAGTCAGAGTAGACACACACAACAAAAATAGTAAACTCCGTGCTCAGCAGGCAGACAGGCAGATATCAGGAATTGTCATGAAAGAAACAGATAACAAAATAAAAACCACCATTAAACCACTCCACAACTGCACGCTATACTGAACTCTTCAGTTCTATTTCCTGATCCCAAATAAAATGTAGTCGAACCAAAAAAAGTACAGAATGTTACTGAATGTCTCCTTTATAAGGAACAACTATATAAAATAGAATTCTTCAGCCTAGAGAAGAGGCAGCTAAGAGGGGCCGTGCTCTCTCTGTGGCACTCGGTCACATAAAGAGAAAGCATTTGTTCCCCATGTCTTCCACTGGGACACTTTGGTGAAATCCCATGGAAGCAGATGGCAAATGACAGGTTCAACTTAAACAAAAGGAGACTGTTCTTCACATTCCAGGTAATTAAGCTGTAGACCTCTTTGCCGTGGGCTCTTCTGAATGTTAAATATATCCATAAGCATATGAAAGACTTGGCAAAATTTCAGAAGGAAAAGTGCATCCAGACCCACTAAATTCAGTGATGCCCGCTCTGGTTATGGATGGTTTGAAAACCATCACCATGTGCTTGCTCTGTTGGTAGATTTTTCTCCTTGTGAATGTGCTATTGCCTCTGTGAGGGTCAACAGACAGAGCTAGATGGACTCAATGCTGGGTTTGCACGTGCCCTTAGGTAACAGAAGAGGAGAAACAAAACTGGCAAAAGAGGCTAAGGGCATGAAAGGCAAGAGACAAAACATTTGCCACAGGTAGTACAATACGCAGGAGGGGTGTATTAGGCATAATTGGCAAGGTTTATCCAGCAGGGGGGCTGCAGGACTCAGTGTACCCTGTGGTGAGGGGATGGGAGAACAACAAAAAAGGGAGAGAAGAGGTTTCACAGAGGCAAGGGGTGTTTTCCCTAAGAGTATGTGTGTTTGTTTCAATCCCAGAATAATTAGAAGTTTGTTAACTGACAATAAATTAAATTAGGAAGTTGGGTCTTGATTTGAAAAGTTTACCTCCAATTGACTGAATATTCTAAAGCTATGAGTGTTTTTCACTTGAAACTCCAGGTTTCTCTTCCTCCCATTAAATAGTAAGTTTTATGGTAAACATCAACACCGTTACCTTCCAAGCCCCTACAGAAATATACGATTCTGTTGTCAGAACCGGGACTCAGTAGCGTTGAGTTTGGGGAACGGAACCTCATACTTTATTTTTAGTAACGTGGCAACTCCTGAACTTCATGTTTGCTTCCGTATATGGTATAACCTACTGTTAAGTGGGAGTACAAAGAAGGCAGAAGTATGAGTTCTAAAACTGAGTAAAATAACAAAATAAGCAAGTGTTAAGATCTCACCTGTAGTAAGTATGAGCCAGGGGTATCCGCACTGGAACTCTCATTTTGTATTGTGTTGTGTTGGGTAATAGCATCCTCTTTCTTTCGCTCCTTCTGCCCTGCTTCATCATCTTCATATTCATCGAGGCTCTAAACCCAAAAATATTCAGTTAGAAAATAGTCTTTGTATGTTGCTTCACATGCTTCCCAGACTTCACAAAATTCATGCATCAGTGAATATTTTCAAAGATTAATTTTATATTTCAGAATAGTTTAATCAGTTGTTTAAATGCTTTTGTTTCCATCGATACTGCGATCTCCAATATGAGAATAAAGTTTGACAACTAACCGCTTTTTCTTAATTACAAAACCAAGAAATAATCAAAACAGGATCCAACCTGACAAAACTTTATGCAATGTTGTCCCATTTCGTTGCTAATCTGGCCGTGAGCAAGAACTTGGACTATACCTGAGGTCCCTTCCATTTAAATGATTCTACAATCATTTGTAGTTTGCCACAGCAATAATTTTACCTCTACATGAGAGATTTTGAGGAAGCAAAGAAAAAGAAAAAAAAAAAAAGAGTTAATTGTACTTTTCACTCAACTGCTGCCCTTTTTGACACAGTGGCATCTGCTGAGATTGAAGTGTCAGTCTGAATCACCCATCTTCTTTTGCTTTCCTTGGTGTTGGTTTTGTCTTTGAAAATTTACCATTGAAAATCAGTAATTTATAAATTAGTCATAAATTACTAACAATTCACGCATATAGAACATTTTGGCTCTTCATCACAAGTGTTTCATACTAGGCTTGTTGAAATACTTGATTCAAAAGGGTTAAGTCTCTAAAGCACTGACTGCTGACAGGTGAGATACAGCAAAAATAAATAATCAGTAACACTGCCTCTGTTCTAGCTCTGGGCCACACTGAGGTCAGGGTAGATGTGTGAGGGCTCAACTAGCTTTGGACTGAGTCAGCTATGCCTACATCGGGTCTACTAGTTTCGTATACACAAATTGACAGAAAGAAAAAGCAGAATCTCATGTCTAGAAGACCAACTTGAAGCAGACATCAAGCTCCAAAAAACTCTGACCACAACATCACAAGCTCTTTGCCATAGCTCTGCATTAAAACAAGAGGTCTGTGAGACCTAGTTACAAAAACACAGGGAAATAACCACTCTCATGTGTCACAAAAAGCTTCCAGAAGAATGTGCAATAGCTGGAGAAACAGACCACAGGGCTACAAGAGTACGAAGATGAATGTCAAGTTATTTCAATGGAAGTTTCTAATGCACAAAAAAACCAAAATCACTCTTCTGAGGCTTAGATGATAATCGCTGACATGTTCTCCAAAGGACACAAAACTAGTCAAAAGCATATAATGAGAATGCTGGAATGTAGTATTTTTTAGAAAGAAAATTTGTGTTATTTACTAACTGCAAATAGCACAAGTATACAAAAAACTAACTTTGGCTGCTCCAAAGCAAACACTACGGTGACAGAAGCGCTAGAAAACTGACAAACTAGAAAGGTGTATGTTTCCAAAAGTGAACGTAATAAAGTGAACATACATGAACCTGAACAAAGGCCATTTAAGTTCTCTACAGCAGCACTCACGGCAGAATCTTAAACCAACATTGTAATGCAACTGATGTAGACCTCTCTACTTCTATTGCTAAGAAAAGCATACTTGAAAGATTATTACAGCTGAAGCATTATACACTCAAAACCACTTTCAGTAAGTGGTCTCTTCAAATAAAATAATTACTAATGGAAAAATACTCAGTTTGGTTCTGTCAGGTTCATTTTTAACAGAGCATTCAAAAACCACTGTCACGGCACATTCTAGGAGATGATCTTTAAATCAACATCCTCTACCTTTTAGAAACAGTAAAGCTTAAAAATTTTGCTAACATAAACTTAAGTCTGTATCCTAATTTACCCATTATCCTAATAATCCATTCTGAAGTGACAAAATAAGAAATAATGAGCCACTACTGCAACAAGAAATGGAGTGATCTTCAGCTCTCACAAAACCACTCTTGTTCAGAAAGAACTAGGAGGCTCACAGAAGGTCTCACGTATATTAAGACTAAACTCATGCAGATGAAGAATGACATTGTGTTAGAAAAACAGGAAAACTTTCAGATTGTTTTTCCAGCCTCCAAGTTGTTCATGTGAGAGAATGAAGATCCCAGATAAACTCAGAGGAAAGAGAGAGTTTGACATGAATTTGGAAGAGCAGCCTCTAGTAAGTGTGGGAGAAAACCAACTGGAGACAGAAGAGACTAGCAACCTTCATACACCTCAAACAGCTTTGCATTTTCAAGGAACAACATTCTTTAAGGAGAAGCTTAAAGGTCTTTGCAGTTACTAAGTAGACAAGTGCTCCTTTCTTAACAAATTCTCTCCTTCAGATACACGCTTCTCATAAGTCTTCCAGAGACCATCAGCATTCCACACAAATGTTTTTCTCTGAGTACAATAACATCTGTGAGGAAGAATGTTCTTCTGTCTTTCGATACAAGATCACCTGCTACTAACTATTCTCTTAGCAGTGTTGGACAGGAACAAAATGTCATCATCTGATACGAAATTTCCAGCCGCAAAATTTTAAACTAAGCATTTTCAGTTAGGATTTGTCAGAGACGCCCATTCCCACCCTTTCCCTTCTTCTCAGGAAGGTCCAAGATCACAAAAGACTGCTAATCAATACCATCAAAAGTTATTAACCCTCCTCAAATAATTCATACCTTCAAAGTTAAAGGCTTTCTTCCCAAGCATGGAACACTTCACAACAGCTTATATGGAAATGTGATTTGGAGCACGCAACGTGCTTTGAAGGCTACTGGGGCTTGCTCCCGCTCCAGCTCCCTTCACTGGAGAGGGCTCCAAGTCAGCCAGGGCCAACACAAATATGAGTGGTGAGAGCCACAGAAGTGGCAGGTTTTTATCACTTGTTCCAGACGAGACAGAAGTATCATGGACAGGCTGATCCTCACCATTTGCAGCTGATGTGGCACATTTGCCCAGGGCTGCCAATGCCTTCCTGCCCTAAAACAGATTACCAGTAACTATCAAGGACCTACTTTGGTTTCCCAAACACAAAGGTTACGTTCCCCTTCCAAACAGAGAGACACGCACATACCCACACACTAATTTAAACAATGTCCATGAAATGCCTGCTGAGCACAAATCAACACGATAGTAACTACGGAATCTTAACATCTTACTGCCTTTTACTGAAGTCATTAAATTTTGTTTCAGTAACCGTTAGCCTTAATAAGGAAATCCCTTTGTTTTGACTCACAACGAAAAAACCCTTCTTCTGCAAAATAATACTTTACATTCAATATCCTGCTTATGCAATTCTCCATCGACTTCAGTTAGATGTCTAATCTTAATGCGATTTACATTCTAAGCTAACTTCTAGAGTAATAAAAATCAATGAAAGCCAAGTTTCAGTTGTCGGATTAACTTACTGAAAAACTAAAAACCTATGAAGTGTTGTTGCACACTTTAAAAACCTTTTTTGTTCAAACTGCCCTACAGCTGAAACTGCCTCAGCCCACAGGACATTTCAATCCAATGGATTACTGCATTGCTCACATTGTGGGCTTCTCTCAAATACTCCACTTTGCTTAAGAAACTACTTTCATGCCATTGAGAAAGACATAAATGCAGTAATTACCTCCTCTGTCAGCACAGCAGAGAAATAGGCTTGTAACCACCTAGGTGTAATTCTGGCTCATTATATAATTCTCTCTGCCCATTCCCTTCCCCCTGCTTTTTTATTTCGCTGCTAGGCACATACCATTTCAGATTCTTATTTTCCATTAAAATCATCTGAGTTCTGTACAGCAGATATTCAATGTGACATTCCCACATCTGATCTTCATATAAGGAATCCACAGAAATTCTTTAGGTTTTCTAGCATTTCAGTACATGTTTGAAGCTGTAGTATAAACATTTTTCTGTAAACCTCTAGAATGGAAAATACAAGCAGAATAAGATGCTTTCAAAAGATTCAGGCTGATGAAGGAAACGGTCACAAAGATATCCCTGCATTCCAGCACACCACCAGCCTGCAGTTTAAGGAAACATTGTACAAAGAACATTTCTAGTGATTAAGTGGTTTGCTTCCTATAAACACTCGTGCATCGCTAAGAACAAACAAAAACTGGAGAGGGACCGTCTTTTCCAGGAAAACAAGTGGTATTCCTACGTGCAGCAGATTAATTTCTGAGCGCACACAAACTGCTCTCGCCACAAGCAATGGTGCCGAGTCAAAATGCCGCTATCCCCATCCCCCTTCCCGCACCAGCTTGCTTTTGCCTGGCAGTTCTGCTGGCCGAGCACGTATCAAAGAGCTTCCCAGTTCATTCCACGAAAGGCCAGTCAGGTTAGTTTCAGCAGTTTCAATAAGCCCAGTTGATTCTGCCTGAACCAGATGCAAGCCCACACAAACTATTCATTTTGCAGAACTCCATGGATGGCTGAGCTACACGAGCTTTCTGAAAATGATGAGCACTTGAGACAGTAACATCTTTAATCAGCACAGCAAGCTGTCCAGATACATACTCTCAATAAAACCCTGTGTTCAACTTCACATTGGGCAATAAATAGAATCTCTACAACACAAGCAATCATCTGTTATCTTGACCTTTTTTTTAACTTCTTAACCACGCTAACAATCTAAGAGAGGAGACAAATCCAGACTTCTTTGCCTTGCCCAAAACGACTTTGAACAAATAAAAATTTTTTTTAAAAAAATCAATTTTACTGCAAGGACATTTTCCTTGTTTAGAAGTTCAAAGTGCACTATCACAACTTCATATCAAGATGCTGGAAAAGTGTAAACATTTCTGTTAAATGTAAACATTTCCTAAAAACTTCCACAGTAGAAATACAAGATGCAAGAATTTTGGTTTTAAGTCTGGAAAAGAACGTAACTAGGCAATTAACTACAACAAAATACATTCTGTGAATCAAAATTATTTTTCCCTCGGCTTCGGCAGGAGGATTGGACTAGATGACCCACAGAGGTCCCTTCCAACCCCTACCATTCTGTGATTCTGTGAAAAGTTAACTGCAAACAAAATACAAATATTTTACGCATCACTTCTTTACAATCTTCTTACTGCACCACTGAGAAGCAAATTCTGCCTTGGTTTACCATGCACAGCTCTTATAACTGTTTACAATCTTCCTACCTCTTTGCACCGTATCAAACCCCTCTGTCATCACCTCTCAAAATACACAGCAGAACCAAGCAAAAATCCCAAACCTCAATGATTTCAAATTATATTACCTTTCCCGTTCAGAAACACTATATTTAATTATGCTTTTTAAACACACTTTTATTACAATGTCCAGACAGTATCCAAAATATTTAAGTAAAATGGGTTTACAGTAATCTGATCTTTTATTAGAACAGCGGTATAACTGGAAAAATTGCATCTTTTTCACTAAGCAAGCCTTTCATCAGGTTTAGCTTGCCTAAGTGTTCTTCTTTACAAGTTCAAAAACACCCTTATAGAGGTGAAAAGAGCTAACATTAGTTATAGGAACTATCTAAAACCTACGAACAGTTTCATAGATATGGATTACCCAGTAAAAGACTGTATTTTTTTAGGAATATTTGACCTTAATTCTCACATTAAGAGAGTCCAAACAAGGATACTTAACCGAACACCTTATCTGAATTATCTCTGTGCACTTCTAAAAGTCTACTACAGATACAAATGGAGCGGTCCAGTATCAACAATTAGTATGATCACAAGCATGGATTTTTAACCCAGCAAAAGAATAAAGGCAGGAATCTTTGGCATCTAAGATCAAAAGAGCCCTGCAGCAAAGGGTCAGCGATCAGCAGGTGGGCTGGAGCCCAGCTGACCACAGCCACAGGATGCCCCCATCCTTGACCACGCAGCTGACAAAGCCAACCAGAAAGATGAGCATCACTTAAGAGATCAGCGAGATGCACATCTGGCTCTACAGAACTCACAGCATTCGTGATTATACATCAGATTTACATTTTGTTTGAACTTTATCCTTTTCTCACCCATAATGAGAGCTACTGAGTGCCTACTTTGTATACTCAGTTACATTTCAGAGCTAATACAATTTGTAGTCTTAAAAACCACTTAGAAATGTTTCTGGAAAAAAAATCCAATATATTTGTCCATGTTAGAGCAAAGTAACAAAGTATTTTGAATTCTTTTAAAGCTTTAAGTAAAACATCAACTGCATCAACACCAGAATGTCAATTATCCCTCCATTATAATAACCAAAAGCAGCTATGTTTGCAGTTTGTTACTCAGCCAAATACGCTGTTTGGCCACCACAGTCTTCAAACATACCACAAGAATGAGTTCAAAAGTCAAATGTTTAACTTAAACTAATCGCCAAAAAATCCTTTATCACAAGGCCTGTAAAGAATGATTGGTGGAAATGCTCAATTTAACTACTTAGTATGTGACATTAAAGTCACAGAGTAAAATGCCAGGGACACAAGAGAAACTGCAAAAGACAAGCTATCTACCATTATTCAAATCCTCCTAGAAAAGAGAAAAACATAATAAAAAATATGGATTGGCAAGCTATCAGAATTAAGCACCGAACTATTTAATATTATACTCAAAGTTAGCATCTTTGACCCTTTTCAGACTGATCACCATCAAGGAACAGAAGCACCTAACATTAGAATTGACTGCAGATCTTTATACAAAGCAGTCAAACTGCTGATGCCTGTTCCATGTGGAAATTATTCTATGAATATAGTAAAACTCCTCCAGAAGAAGTCCCAGTGTCCTGCTCTTAGAAAAAAAAACAAAACCCAACAGCATTTAAAGTGGCTACGAGAAAAGCAGGCAATCCAAAATCTCTTCTTGCTGCTGGTATGATCCAGGGCAGTTCCAGCCCACCTGACTTCCAGAGCTACAGGGCCCAGACACAGCACAGCTCTACATGCTAGAAAAGTGAGATCAAACATCCCCCCACTTTTGGAGTTTTGCACACTGTTCCTGCTTACCTCTACGCTCTCATCAAATTCTGCTACAGACATCACATCTTTTCCCTCTTCTGCTGATGGTTTACAACTGGTATAGAGTTTATGAAGACTACATCTGTACACAGAAATCATTAATAACATTGAAGATACAAATCTAAAAGTTATAGCAACATTCCCAAAAAAACCACACAAACCAGGAAGGAAAAAAAAATTAAAAATAATAATTTTGCTCCAAAGTGGAGTCAGTCACCAAACCCATCTCCTTAGATTTCTAATTAGCATTCTGAAATGACGCATCCTGCCTAATACAAAGATCGTAAACCAGTGGCTGAGCAGAAGAAACCTAGCAAAACAAAGTTTGCCTGTTTCAGCCAGGAGGAAGAAGAAAGAAGTGCTGAGGATATTTTCGCTGTTCACAGGGGAAATATTTCCCAGTCTGCATCATGCCATACATGTTAGGAAACAACAATCACAGACGGCAAGAACAGAAAAGAGGACCCATCCTGGATGTATAGAAAACAAACTATAGTTTACAGACATAGGATTCTGGGAGAAATTGGTATTAGAGAGCGTGTAAACCTGAAATGGAAGCAGTTTACCCCTGGGGAACAATGGTTGGATAAAAGCCACTCAAAGAACAGTTAGATAATGGAGTTAAAATGCCTGGTAAGCACTATCATTTTGAGTTCAATCGCCATGTATTTCTGCCAAAACTAAGCACATAGAAACAATGCCCTGAAAGTGAGAAAGATGTATTGTCATGTAGATAAAGACCATCCAGACTGAGCAACCTCCTCTTTAAAGTCAGAAGAACAGTGAGAGAAACAAATCCTGGAGAAGATTAGCCCACTATTTTCAAAACAGAAGTATTCCTTTTAATGTGACAGTCTAATATAGAAGGCATCTAATTCCTGTTTTCTTCCCTAGTACATCTAGGGTACTTCTAAAAAGAAATAAAGATGAGATCAGTATTTGAGGAATGTTCTTAAAGAAGATCAAACAGGTTAATCAGTGTACTGTATTTCTAACTATCCTATCCTCTGAAGCATGCAGTGTATAGCAATTCACATTGTCTGAATATCAAGTTGCATATAAAATGGTTTCTTTTAAAAAAATGCAGTACAGTGCCTTCACAGGTTTCTGCTCTCTTCCTTAATGAGCTAATCGTCATTTTTCTTTTTCTACCCAACTGAACCTCATTCAGTGTTTACACACAGTGGGTGTGGGATTGGTCCAGCTAAACAAAGCCAAAGAGGCTGCTGACAACCAAGTGAGCATGGACAAGCCACGACAACGGACTCAGAACCAATTCCAAGTGAAAAAGAAAACTTTGGCACAGTGCTTTTTTCAGATTTGAGCTGCATTTCTCATTTGGGAGCAGGATCTTCTGAATCCGTGGAAAAGCTGATAAAAATACCAACCAGGTTTTCTGCTCCCCTAGGTGTTTCTTCTGAGTCCTCGTATAAACAGCTGTTGTAACAGGACAGATAGGAGAACTCCACATCAGCCGTGGGGCAGATAGGGAGAGGAAGTACTGAAGAAGCACCTTACACAGGCTAGGCACGTATCTGGATAAAAACTGTTGAATTTGACTTTCAAGGCAATAAATAAGCACTTCTGAAGCCCTCAGCGCTGCTGTCAGGAATAGACAGTACTGAATGAAGCCATGCAGCAGACAAAGCACATCTGTAGTACTGAAGCCTGCTTAGGATGGCAATACCCAGATAACATCAAAAAAGTTTGGCTGAAGTCAATATCATAACTATTTCTTGGGAGAACACCTTATACCTACAAATAATCCTAGCGACAATGCTGTGAAGCTGGTTCCCAATCTAGGATTCTGAGATCACCCTTCAGCTCTGCATTTGGAAAGAACACCTCTTCCTCAGGGGCTCTGCCAACACTTTCTTTTTTAATAAATGCTCATATCAACGTCCAAGGCTCCTACTGGAAATCCAGTCCAGGTTCTCATAGTGCAATCCCATGTCCCAACAGCCTAAAAGCTTTCTGTCAACAGCATTTGTATCCCCCGCTTCTTATGGAAACTGTGCTCAGAAATCACAGCTCTTTTGTCCCTGTATTTTTTTGAAGTCACTAGTGGCGGGAATATGGGGGTGGGGTGGAGGTGTAATATTTAATAATAGATTAGTATTTTTAAGATACGAAAGTTGCAGCATTGGGGGTGGGGTGGGTTAATTCAAAGTGAGAGATGCAGATTAGCTGCCACAGTAATTCATGGGCTAGACAAAGCAGGCAGTCACCCTTCCACCTGAGCAGCCAGCGCACCATGCAGCCCTGAACCAGCCCAGCAGGTGTTTGACTCTTCTCATTCAAAGGCTCTTGAGGAACCGAGGGAACTATAGCATTGACTTAGGAGCGAGGAGGAGAAAGCGTGGGAGACAGAACGAGCTGTGGGAAAAGATCATACACAGAACATGCAGCTGATGCCTGGTGAGAGGGAGCTATGCAAGTAAACTGCAAAACAGCGGCAAAAATAAGCAAGCAAGCAAGCAAAAGAACTCATCTGTTTCAATCGGTCTGAGAAGCAAAACTGTGCATTGTACTTCTCTGTGGCCTTTCTGTCACTGTCAGAGTTATCTGCCTGATTTCCCCTGCAGCACTCGCCCAAAATTTTTACATTTTGATCACCAGATCTAAGAGAGCTGGACATACTCCTCCCCCAGAAGCTAAGGAAAACAAGGACTTCAGGATGGGAGCATGCCGACAGACAAGACTGTGTGACTCAGGAGCATTTCAGGTGCGTGCTTTAAGCCCACTAAACAGTACCAGCACGTTTAAGTACACTAGTACAGCAGTAGCATTTGGATACGGTGACCTCTGAACAGAGAAGAAAATGCACAGACACAAAACATCAATCTAGGTGTGAGGAAATGCAGTATAGGATCATAATAGGAGGAATGAGTCACGTCATACAGTTGGTTCAAAACAGCCAAACCTTGCACTACTGAAACTCATTGTGTAAGACAGCTATGGTATTTCTACAGCAAATCACACCACTATAAAGCAGGAATAAATAAAGCAGGGAAAATGCTGGATAAATAAAAGCTTATATTCCTAAGTGCAGAAGAAGTTTGTACTAAAAAAGGCAATTTTCTGTTAGTGGTTTTTTAATTGTTGAGCGACTGATGCAGTTTTTAGGGGTTTTAGCTATACAGTTACTTGCATACAATATAGTGTAAGTCTTGGCCAGGTCTTCATCAACAAAAAAGTTCTTTGCACGTCAAAAGATTTACCTTTTCATGCCAGACAGCTCAAACAAATCATTAAGATTTCAGCTCATCAGGCATTTTTTTTCTTGATTCGTAACGTCAACTATAACACGTGCTTCTCAACTGTAAAACAGGAATAAAGAGTGCAGTGGTCTTTTCTGAAATGCTCAGAAATCTATCCATTAAAGATGCTCAGGAAACCTCGTTACACGCTGACATGGATCTGCTCTGTGGTCCAGGCCTGTGCATTGCTCAGTACTGCACTGGCAAGGGTCTCCTTTGCTGAGGCACAGGATAAAAGGGCCACGACAGCCCTCCCCATTATTTTCTACGGAGTGTAAAGAGAGCACGAGGTTAAGGTTAAGACTGATACACAAATTAACGTGCACGGTCTTCTCCATGGTAACTGTTCACATGCCTTGTTTTCTGTGGACCAAACTGTGATAGACACACAGTAATTCAAGCTTTACCATCCCCCAGTGAAAGAAAGGTAAACAATTTTACATATCCTGTAGGTACCACGGGGCGGGAGCATTCACAGCGTTACCATGGAGCAGCCCTGAGCCATTCATCTGTCCGACCCGACGGCGCAGAGGACAAGCAGAGGAATTAGCATCAACTGACAACGCTGGAGATGGGATTCAGAGCTCAATTCATCTCATGCAATAACCCATCACAGCCAAATGACACTTAAAATCAAGGAAAAAACCTCTGGTTTTAAGAATCTTAATGACAAAAAAAACCCCTTTCAAAGATAAAAAGATGCCCAAGTAGGGGTCTTCATGTTGTAAACAGGGAAAAAAAAACCAAACCAAAAACGACTACTAAATAAATCCTCCAGCCATTGCTACACTTGCACTCCACTCCAAGCCAGGGGAATGCAAGTGAGAAAGCATCCAAGGAGGAGTCAGGACTGAGGATTCTCCTGTTCAGGTTATTAAAACGTGCTTTCAATTTCTCAGACTACAAGCTAAAGCCTGTAATAATGTCACTTGGAAAACAGAAGGCTGAGTGAGCATCTGAGGGTGAAAAGGAATGTTTTCACAGGCGCAGTTAGTAAATACCACTGGCTCCTACAGACATTCTTCCTTAAATGGAAATTACATTGCTGTAGGTTAGAAGAAAAAACTGTCTTGATACAATAGAAGCGATAGGCTAGCTATTAACCTTTTAGCACCTGCACTGAAAGATACAAAAATCAGCAGAAGCCCTTACATATATATATATATAAAAAAGTTATTGTTCAATAAATATTTAAAACCCATCCCCTCCCTTGCCACATGATTCTTGGAAGAGTAAGGAAACCAACAGTCTCTCAAACACTATTAAAAAAACATAGAAATAAAAAGTCTCTGTGCATATCTATCACTAACTGCGTGAGGGCACTAGACAATTTAAAGCAAGGAAACTACTCCAGATAGAATCAGAACTGAACCTTCACCCTAAAGTTGAGCCAAACTTTATTTGGACACTGAAATAACTCTGCATTGCTTTGATTTTATTCCCCCAATTGCTTTTTCCAGCCAAGAAAACAAGACTTCTCCCTCCCCCAAGATGCCTAACAAATTTAACAACATGCCAGACAAGGGCTGAGGCTCCACAACAGCTTAAATTAACCTGGGTCCATTTAGCCATACTCCAACTCTCCCTCTTTCCCGCTCCTGCCCATGGGCATCTACCAGCCCTCTGCATCACCTCCTCTGACACCAGCAAGCTAGTGTAATTTACTAGCAGAAAGCTACCTCTATAAAAAGTGAATAGTCATTTGTACACCTTGCAATAGCTAACTACAGGATCAAATGAGTGCCAGGGTCAGCACAGGCAAGTCAGGTAAAAGCAAGGATCCAAAGCAGCCTGGACAAGGAAAAGGTTAAACTCCAGACAA